CTCTGCAGCAGCGCCCAGTGATCTGAGCTGAGGGACGTGCTGGCCTGGTGCTGGCGGCTGAGGGGCGGCTGGAGCAATGCCTAGCTGTGGGGTTCACCCCCGGCCCCCCGCCATGAGGGCCCAGGCCTCCCACTGTGTGTGCAGAGGGGCTGCGCAACCCCTCAGAGCCCAGCCGGCCGAGAGCTGGCACTGACCGGGGAAGGGACAGTGCTCACTGAGTACTCCAACCTCTCCGGGAGCTGGAGCGGGGACCCCGCTGCCCCTGGGGGCTCCCTGACTCAGATGCCTTCCTGCCAAGGTCTTGCCCCCCCAGAGGAAGCCGAACCCCCAGAGGGCACACGGAGTGTGTGAGTGGGGGGGGGGGGGTCAGCGCCTAGGCCGGGGAGCAAAGATGGTCATTAAGGAAGCTAACGGCTGACTTCCCCCAAACCCTCAGGACCCGAGGCAAGGATTCTAAAAGGCGCCTTAATTTATTTCTAAATAGAGACAAACACAGCATTAAATCATTATCCGCGCGGAGACTGCGAGGGAATGTGCCCTCATCCGCTCCATTTCCCGCAGCCAGCCGCCTTCGCGGGCGGGCAGGGAGGAGGGAGAGAATCCTGAAGAGGCCCTGGATGGAATCTGCTCCCCGGAAGGCGGGTGCTGGCGCTGGCAGCGGCCTTTCTCAGGGAAATCATGGCCCTGGGGACGCGGGACGGCAGCTTTGAGAGGACACGTGCCCTTGGGGGGCTTCTGGCGGCAGCCCGTGCTCAAGACGAGGGGACCGAGAAGCACTCCCTCCCTCCCACACCCGTGAGAGCCAGGCGTGGGCCCCAGGACAGCCATGGTCGCCGCGTGGGTGTTTATGTAACAGATCTGTTAGCAACTGGGAGGGAACAAGAGGCAGGGGCCGGGGCCGGAGCGACAGCACAGCGGGGAGGGCGCTTGCCCTGTGCGTGGCCGACCTGGACCCGACCCTTGGCATCCCGTATGGTCCCCCCCCCCTGAGCACCCCAGGAGTGATTCCTGAGTGCAGAGGCAGGAACAACCCCTGAGCATCACCCAAAAAGAAGAGTTGGGGTCTGTGCCCAGCACGTGTATGAAGCCCAGAGCTGGACCTTCACACTGCAGGGACCCCTGGACACTGCCAGGTGTGGCCCTGCTGACCCGCGGGGAGCGGCTGGGGTGGCCCTGAGTCATGAGGGATTCTGGTTGGCCGCAGTCGGTCTCCCACCCTCCAGGTGGCACGGCGCCCAGCACCATCCCAGCAGGCGCATGCCACCTCAGCTGCCCACTCAGGCGGGCTTCCTGTCCCCCAGCCCAGCCCTGTCCCAGGGGGTGACCCCAGCACAGCACGGCTGCAGAAACAATGGGGGCAGGCACAGAAGCCCACCAGGCGGGTGGGAGGCACCGACCAGCTCATGAAGCCCAGAGAATGACAGGGGATGCTTAATGAGCACAGAGAAACGATAGCCAGGCGGGGCAAAGCTCGGGCAAGCAGGAGCGAAGGAGAGACTCAGAAGGGACAGAGATGAGCAGTGCAGTAGGTGACCCTGCACACACACACACACACGCATATACACATGTATACATACACACACATGCATGCACACCTACACACATGCATGCACACCTACACACAAGCACACAAACATATGCATGTGCACACACGTACAGACACGAATGCACCTACACACATGCATCCACGTGCACACACATACACATGCATGCACACATGCACACACAAACACGCACACACATGCACACGTGAACATATACACATGCACACTGGTGCACATACATATTCACACACACATAAATACACACATACACATATGCATACATGCACGCACGCATGTGAGCATGCACACATCCACACACACGCGCGTGCAGACACATGCATATACACAGGCGTACATGCACAGGCACACTCATACATGCACATATACACACACTATACACACATGCACATGCCCATGCACACACACACACACACACACACACACACGTGTGCGCGCGCGCGTGCGCACATGCCCAGAAGGATGCTGAGGAGGTCTATGGGCTCCGAGATGAGATGCAGGAAGCTTCTAGCAACAAAAGCACGGGAGAAGGTGGGAAGGAAATCCCCGCAGGGAAGGGCAGACGCAGCATTTGCTGAACCACCACTAGTGATGGAATCCTGGCTAAGAACTTTCCAGAGCCAAGGAGCTCAGGCTCCGAGACCAGCGGCCTGAAGGCCCAAGGAAAAGCGACCCAAACAGAAAAACTCCCAGACATATCGTGTGGGGACAATAAAGCCAGAGAGAGAAGGTTTTGGGGGTTTTGGCTTTTTTTTTTCCTTTTTGGATCACATCCAGCAATGCTCAGGGGTTCCTCCTGGCTCTGCACTCAGGAATTACTCCTGGCGCTGCTGGAGAGACCATATGGGATGCCGAGGATCGAACCTGGGTTGGCCGTGTGCAAGGCAAACGCCCTCCCCGCTGTGCTATTGCTCCGGCCCCCACTACAGAAAATTTTAACCCGACCTTTTACTTATTAATGCAGTTGCTTAAGCATCAATCACCTATCATGCTTTCTAACATCAAGTCAATCTGCCCTTCTCAGTTCCAGCACACTTGGACACTTTCATGCACCCATTGAGATGCCCCCTTTACATTTTCCTGATTCTCCTCTTCCTACATTATGTATTTGAAAGATTTATCTAGCTCGGGTCAATTTTTAAATATAGCATGAATTAGTCATACTAGGTATGAGAGTTTTTGAAACAATTTGTCAGCTTATCATTGACAAATTTCAGAATTTCAGGAGCTTTGATCATGTATATGTGTAGACGTCACCGCTCACACACACACACACACACACACACTCCAGAAAGTTCTCATGTGTGGAGTATAAGGAAACGCAGAGAGGGAAGGGTGGGAACTGGAGACTGTCTCAGAGCTGAGCCCACAGGGAGAGGGCAGGGAGGGCCTGGAACCGGCAAGGTCTGGACTGAGGGATGTGGGGGGAAAGTATTGTAAATACTTTTTTTAAAAACAGTATTGTAAATCCCGGACCTCAATAAAAAGGGTCTTAAAAAAATTTGTAGGGGCTGATGAGAGTACAGAGGCTGAAAGGTCCTATACATGTGGCTGCCCCGGGTTCAAGCCCATCCGGTTCCCTGAGCACACAGCCACGAGCAAGCCCTGAGCACTGTCAAGCGTGGCCCCCAAACAAAAGTCTAATGAAAGCATTCCGATGTTTAATTACCACAGGTTAAAATATTATTTAAGGGGCTGGAGCGATAACACAGCGGGGAGGGTGTTTGCCTTGCACGCGGCCGACCCGGGTTCGATCCCCGGCATCCCACATGGTCCCCCAAGCACCGCCAGGAGTGATTCCTGAGTGCAGAGCCAGGAGGAACCCCTGAGCATTGCTGGGTGTGACCCCCCAAAAAAAATTGTATATATATACACAATTTAAGAAAAACCTTCGACTTACTTTTCCTCTCAGTTTTTGGGCTCCAACCTGTAGTGCCTGAGGGTGACTCCCAGCTCTGCGCTCAGAATCACTCCTGGTGGGGCTCGGAGGCCCCCATGTGGCGAGGGAGGACCGCGACTTGCCTCATGCAGGCCAGCAGCCTCCCCGCTGAACTCTCTCTGGCCCTAATGGCCCCGGATCTCTAAGGAAGATAAGGGAGACCGTGGGGCCAGAAGGGTGAAGGGTCAGAAAGCAGAAGCCCCCCCACCCGGGCGTGCCCCCCCGGGCCTTCCCACCATCTCCTCTCCCTGGAGGGCACTGAGCTCCGGGCGCTGCCCGCACAGCACACTCAGGTCCCAGCTCTGAGCCAATGTCCTCAGCACCAATGGCCTCCCACTGGGCCTGAGCAGCCAGACCACGGATGGTGTCACGGGGGGCGGTTCTCTGGCTGCACTGGGTAGGGAAGTGGCCAGCAGGAGTGGACTCGGGCCACACTCTGCCGCTGGGACTCCCTGCTGGGCCCTGCCCCCTGGGGCCCCAGGCTGCTCTCACCCCAAAGGACAGGGCTTCTCAGAGCCTGCACCTGGCCAGCTGCGGCCACTTCCGCCTGTCGGACTGCACTGAGGGAACGGACAGACGCCATCCTGGGCGATGACCCCCCAATCCTGGATGCTGACCCCCAATCCTGTGTGATGACCCCCAATTCTTGGCACTAACCCCCAATCCTGGGCACTGACCCCCCCTATCCTGGGCACTGACCCCCCAGCCCTCTGTGTGAGCTCCGTCTCCCCTGGTGGCACTCGCCACGGCTGGGTCAGGGCCAGACTCTCTGTGGGGCCCTGGCATCACCCCAGGTTATTGCGGGCGGTGGGGGGGGGGGTGGTCAGTGATGGAGACAGCCTTGGCCAGGCCCCCAGCCCTGCCTATCCTTCATGCCGTGGGCAGAAAAGCCCCAAGGATGCAGCGAGCACTCAAGAAGGAGGACCATCCCCAGCAGAGTTGGTGTTTACTGTTTAGGAGCTTGAACAGGAAACAGCACCCATGGGGGGTGGACACGGCCAGCGGACAGCGCGGGCACGAGCCCCAGCCGCTCTCGCGGGAACAGTCACTGGAGCAGGGTCCATGGCACAGGCGCTGGTGCCCGGCTCCCTACAGCTCCTGCAGATGTTCTGGCCACTTTCCAGCCCAGGAGGACCCAGAGGACAGGTCTGAGGGCGTCCCTGAGCACAGCAGAGGATGGCAGCCTCTCCTCTACTGGAGGAGTCCTGGGGGGCCCTCACAGGGGGGCCACCTTGACCTGTGACTGAAGATGACCTTGACCCATGACTGAAGATGACCTTGGCCTGTCACTGGGTGTGACCTTGACCTGACACTGGGCATGACCTTGACCTGTCACTAGATGTGACCTTGACCTGTCTCTGGGTGTGACCTTGACCTGTCACTGGAGGTGACCGTGACCTGTCACTGATGATGATCTTGACCCGTTGCTGGGAGGTGCTTGATCCATCAATGGAGGTGACCTTGACCCATCACTGGACGGTGAGCTTGACCCATCACTGAAGATGATCTTGACACATCACTGACTGTGACCTTGACCCATCAATGGAGGTGACCTTGACCCGTCACTGGGGGTGACCTTGACACAGAAGGTCTCCTCGGTCTTGTCTTCATGGTCATTGATGTAGATGAGGATCTCGGCCGGGCGGGGTGTGGGCAGGAAGTGGAGGCCCATGGTGTAGGTCTCCCCAGGGCCCACCTGGAAGCATGCAGACTCTGGAGGTGCCCATGGGTCCGGGGTCCCCCGGGGAGGAGCCCACCCAGCAGCACTTCTGGGAATTGGCCCCCGTGTGGCCGTGAGCCCCAGAATGGCTGTCAGGACCTGCAAGCCCCGCTGACAGGCAGGTGGGCGGATGGACAGGTGGACAGCATCACTCCTCTCCATCCTGTCCCGAGGCCATGCGAGGCCACGGGGAGGGGGCAGGGCTGCCCCCACGGCCCACAGGGAGTTCTGAGTGCCTGCTGTCCAGGGACGCCCACCGTCCTGCTGCCTGCTGATGCCCACCCACCTCAGGTGGGCTCAAACCCGAACAAGCACAGGCCCCACATGGGTGCCCACCTCTCAGGTTCCGGGAGGGGCAGCACCTGGCAGACCCCCAGACAGCTCTCACCTGCAGCCCCTATCCCACATCTGCCACGCCACAGCCCCACACGCCCTCTGCCACCACCCACAGCCCCCTCCACGCCTGTCCTCCACGCCCAGCTCCCCACTCCTCACCCCTGCCCCATGCCTGTCCCCCACATCCAGCTCCCCACTCTTCACCCCTGCCCCTGCCCCATGCCTCTGTCCCCCAATGCCCAGCTCCCCACTCCCCACCCCTGCACCCTGCCCCTGTGGCCCCCACTCCTCACCCCTGCACCCCACCTTGCTTCATGCCCCTGTCCCCCATGCCCAGCTCCCCACTCCCCACCCCTGCCCCGTTCCCCTGTCCCCCATGCCCAGCTCCCCAATCCCCACCCCTGTCCCCCACCCCCAGCTCCCCACTCCCCACCCCTGCCCCCCATGGCCCCCCACTCCTCACCCCTGCACCTCACCCCACTCCATGCCCCTGTCCCCATGCCCAGCTTCCCACTCCCCATCCCTGCCCAGCCCCCGGCCCACCTGGAAGGAGTCCTCGCGGAACCGCAGCAGGTCGGGCCGGTCGCTGTGCAGGTGGTAGGTACGCGGGGCGGGGTAGGGGTTGGTGTAGGTGATGCGCTTGTGCACCCCCTTCCCGTCGCCCGCTGGCAGCCGGATCTCAAAGGCCTGCGAGGGAGGCACGGTCGGGAGAGGCCTCCACGCGGGGCCGGGGTGGTCTGGGCAGCCTGGGGTGGGGCACCGGCTGACCTTGGAGATGAGCGGCGGGCGGCAGGAGAGGCCCACGAGCCATGAGGCCACGAGTTGGTGCCGGTCCACATCCACCAGGTGCAGGTGCAGGAAGCGGCTGCCTGCCCTCCGGGGCCGCAGTGTCACCGCCAGCTCCAGCACCCCACGGGGCGGCAGCACAAACACACCCTGGGGGTCCGTCTGCCGGGAGAGAAGGCGCCACAGGGACTGCAGGGCCTCAGGATGACATGTCCCGGGGCCACTCAGCGGCCACCCCCGGTCAACCCTTCCTGTGACATGGGGGTCTCGGGCCAGACCCGCCTCACCATCCACCAGAGGGACCTGCACGCCCCATGTCAGTCAGGGTCACCGTGTGTCACAGCACGTCCGGCAGGTCACGTCAGTCAAGGTCATACCCTGTCATGCGTCAGTCAGGGCATGAGAGTGTGACAGCGTAGCAGAAGGTGACGATGTGTCAGTCAGGGGTCACATCCTGTCACGTGTCACACAGCGGGTCCCAGAGGTCAGTCAGGGTACCGTGACATGTCGTGGCATGGCAGGCAGGGCGGCACCGACAGCACAGCCTGGTGTTCTTCAGGACGCCACAGCGTGTGGGTCTGACCCACACGCCACAGCACGGTCAGGGTGTCACGACAGATCACAGTGCGTCACACACATCTGGATGTCACTGTCCCCACACAGTGTGGCACGTCAGGGCACAAGAGTGCCACAGGTCTGGCCTTCACAGGCTGCCACAGCATCACGGAACTGTCACGGCTGTCACGGGCTGTCAAGTATTGGGTGACACCTAGGTCATCCCGGGGTGAGGAGACCCCTCACAGCTGCACTTGGGATCAGACAGACGCCCAGGGCGGGGCAATTACAGGGGCATCACGAGGGTGTCACAGAGGCTGCAGCTCCGGCAGCACCCTGGGGTGCTCACTCCATCAGCCTTCGGGGTCCAGGCCTGGATGGGGGAGCACGCACCGTCAGCTCCTGCGGGTGTGAGGTGAAGGCCTTCACGTTCCTGGCGGCCTGTGTCCCCCGCAGGACCAGGGACAGGCGGGTGCGCTGGCCCGTGATGCAGGAGGCGTCCACTCGCTGCAGGGCGTGCACGTGCACCTCCCAGACCTGGGCGGGTGCAGCCAGCCAGCGGTCCCTGCGGGGGGGGGGGCTGCTCAGGGGCCACAGGAGCACAGGGAGACCCGCAGGGGTGCAGGAGGTGAGAGAAGGGGAGAGAGGAGCCGGGCACGGACTGGGGGACAGGGGCTGGGAGCCAGGGCAAGCCCAGCAGGGATTGAACAGCAGGAGCACCATGGTCAGAGCACACAGGGACCCTCATACCCCCCAGCACACAGGGACCCCTGATCCCCCCAGCACACAGGGACCCCTGATCCCCTCAGCACACAGAGATCCCCATACCCCACACAGCACACAGGAACCCCCAATCCCCCCAGCACACAGGGACCCCCGATGCCCACAGCACACAGAAATCCCCGTACTCCCCAGCAACAGGGACCCCCGATCCCCCCAGCAGACAGGGACTCCCATACCCCACAGCACACAGGGACCCCATACCCCACAGTCCACTGGCAGAGGTGTCCCTCCCCCAAGGGCATGCCTTCGCCCCTACCCCAATTCAGGGCTGGCGGGTGCCCCCCCAAGGAAGAAGCGGAAGGGCAGGTTCATATGGTGGCAGGAGTCAGAGGAGGGGCCTGGAACAGTCTCCAGGCATGGCGGGCACAGCTGCCCCACTCCTGGGACCCCGCCCTCCCCACCTACCCTGCTCTGCGGAGCAAGGGGAGCCCGCCCCCCCAAATGGGTCCTCCCTGCCACAGCCCAGCCCTCAGCACTGCCTACTCACGTGTAAACAGCGACAAAAAAGTCTTTGGTCTCGGGGCTGGGACCACTCGCCACCTTCAGGAACACGTCCCGAGGCTCCCCGGGGCCCTGCCAGCAGCGGGTACATCATGAGCCCCCTGCCTGTCTGACCCTTGACCCTGAACCCCAAGGTCCCAGCAACAAAGCCAAACCCAGGAAGGGGCCAGGCTGAGCGTCTGGGTTCCTGTAGAGTCAGAATTCTGGCCCTCAGGCTGGAGCAATAGCACAGCAGGGAGGGCGTTTGCCCTGCACACGGCCAGCCTGGGTTCGATTCCCAGCATCCCACAGGGTCCCCCAAGCACAGCCAGGAGTGATTCCTGAGTGCAGAGCCAGGAGTAATCCCTGTGCATCTCCGGGTGTGACCCAAAAAGAAAAAGAAAAAAAAAAGAAGTCTGGCCCTCAGATGCTGCTTCTGTTTCCAGGATGCTGGAGAGACCTGGGACCCCTGCCCAGGCAATGCCGCCCATGGCGGCCACCCTCCCCTCCCTGCACGGCTTCTCAGGGGCCTTATCCTGCTGGGCCCACCAGGCTGTGCTCAGGGCTGACTCCTGGCTCTGTGCTCAGGAGTCACTCCTGGAGGGCTTGGGGGACCATCCAGGATACCAGGGACCTGACCGTGTGCTTGGCAAAGGCCCCCTCCCCTGGCCTGCCACCCTCCTTCATGGAGCAGGTGAGAAGGCGCGAGGCCAGCTCCCTGCGAGGAACGGGGCACAGGGAAGGGGGATGGGGGAGCGGGACAGGGGCGGGGATGGGTGCAGGATGAGGGGGGACAAAGGTCAGGGACGGGGTGGGGGGCAGGATTGGGGTGGGGCGTGGACAGGGGTCGGGATGGCCCAACTCACCACACTCTGAGTCTCGCAGATGACATTGGGGTCGCTGCACCGAACGTGGACCGGGGGCTCTTCCCCGGGCATGCCCACGGGCATACCTGGTGGGGGGAGCAGACACCCTTCCTGACAGGCCCTGATGAGTGGCACAGTGGGGGCAGGAGGGGCTGGAAACCCCCTCCCCAGGGACCCTGTATGGACCCCCTCAAGGGCTCAGCAGCCCAGAGCACCCCCAACACCGGGCAGAGGCCGCAGTGCCCCCAGCCCCCAGGGGAAAGCACGGAGGGCACCTGCCTGGCAACGTATGCCAGGGGGGCAGGCGGATGGCCTTCTTCAGGAATGTGCACTCGGGCTGGTAGAAGCGGAAGATCTGGTCCACCATGTGCGGCAGGGGCATCACAGTCAGGCACAGCACAGCCAGGGGCTTGCCGCCCGCGCGGAACACGGCCTGCAGCAGGGAGGCTTCCAGAAGGATCCGCACGGCCACCCAGTGCCCGCAGTACAGCCATCCCACCGGGCAGCACGGCCATGCCACAAGCCCCGGGGACGCAGGAACTCAGGAATGGAGCCCCGGGGGGTGGGGGGGGGACACACTATCCAGACCCCGCTCACAGGCCCCTGGGGCAGCTGGGCTCAGAGCCTTCAAAGGGGACGCAGTACTCAGAGCGATCAGCATGGCCACAGGCCTGAAGTCACCATGTGGCTGGCCGGGGAAGGGGAGCAAGTCCAGCCGGAGGATGGGGGGTCGCAGAGCTGTCGCCCCCACTCCGGAGCCACCACAGGCCCCTCACAGAGCCCCCCCAGAACATGGGGCCAGAAGGACAAACATCGAATGACCCCACGCATCTGGACAGTAATGGGATGAGGGGACGCAAGGGATCCCCGGGGCTGAGCCCTGGAGCCCAGATTACAGAATAGGAGGGTCAGAGGTGAGGAGAGATGGACAGGAAATAAGGCAGGGTGGGGGGAGGTGCCCACATCACAAACTGGGGGGCGCCAAGCCCCCGGCACGGCCTGCAAGTGGGGAACCCGGACTCGAGAACATGCCTGGTAAGGTATGAGGGACAGGACGGGGGAAGGTGCTGGCCATGCACCGGGACTCAGTCCCCAGCACCCCGAACGGTCCCCCAAGCACCACCAAGAGTGACCCCGAGCACTGAGCCAGAAGTCACCCGGGCATGGCAGGGTGTGGCCCCCCACATAAAACCACCACCACAAAAATGTGCCTGTGAACGGGGCAGGATGGGGTGGGAGCCTGGGGTGGCTGCGGCGGAGGGCAGCTGGCCCTGGGGCGGGGCACGGCCCTCCTGGAACTCTATCCACAACCTCTGGCCACGACGCCTCCGTGCAGGAATAAAAACCACAAAGCAAAAAGCAAAGGCAGGGGCTGGAGCGATAGCACAGAGGGTAGGGCGTTTGCCTTGCACGCAGCTGACCCGGGTTCGAGTCCCAGCATCCCATATGGTCCCCTGAGCACCGCCAGGAGTAATTCTTGAGTGCAGAGCCAGGAAGAACCCCTGAACAGTGCCGGGTGTGACCCAAAAAGCAAATTAAAAAAAAAAAAAAAGCAAAGGCAAATGGGGCTGGAGCTATAGCACAGCGGGGAGGGTGTTTGCTTTGCACGCAGCTGACCCAGGTTCGGTTCCCATCATCCCATATGGTCCCCCGAGCACCACCAGGGGTAATTCCTGCATGCAGAGCCAGAGGAACCCCTGAGCATCACCAGGTGTGACCCAAAAAGGCAAAAAATAAAGCAAAGGCAAAGGGGTGGTGGCGTATCTCCCTGGCTGCCGCCTCCCCAAAACCTCCCCCCGGAAGGAAGCCCCCGAGGGTCGCGGAGGCCAGTCGCTCCTGGGGTGGTGCCATCAGGAACAGCCGTGCCGGGCAGCCGTGGCAGGGGGAGGCCCCAAGGCCACTGCCTAGCCAGCCCCCGAGTCCCTGAGCTTCGGGAGGCACGGGGACCTGCTGGGCGGCCATACCACACTCACCTTGGCGTGCCGGGACATGTCCGGAGAGGTCCCTGACGTCAGGGGGGACCCGGCGTCTGCGTCCTTCTCCATGCTCAGCAGGGCGGGCACCTGCAGGAGGCCCCCACTGACCAGCCGCGCTCCCCAAGCAAGCGGGGCCACACAGACCTGACCCCGGGTCCGTCTCCACTCAGAGTCACTCCGCACCATCCCCACCACGTCCCCTGCGTGCCCTGTCCTGTCCCTCCTGTCTCCCACGACCTCTGCCCGCTAACCCCCACATCCCTGAAAGACGGGGCAGATGAGTGGAGTGCAGGGGAGAGGCTGCTGGCCCCTGTGCCTGGGACTCCTCGGGAGACAGGGGCCTCGCTAGGGGGCTCCAAGCCCAGGGTGCTCAGGGGACCCCACCCTGGGCCTGGCTCCACCCTGGGAAGGCCCTGTACCTGTGCCCAGGCTGAGCAGCCCAGCGAGAAGCTCTGGAACTTGAAGGGGATGTGGGCCGCCTCCCGGGGGCGCAGGTAGAGCTGGGGCCCAAGGCCGCCCCCGACGTGGAACATGTCGTCCTCCACCGCCGAAGTCAGGCCGGCCGCGTCCTTGAAGTGCCTCCACTCCTGACCATCCACAATGACGCTGGAGGGATGTGAGTGAGATACGGTCCTGTGGGGCTGCAGGGCAGGTGCTGCCCCCTCTCCGTGCCCCCCCTGCCCTCCCCGCCCTCTCCACCCACTCCAGGGCCACACCTGAGCTCGGGGTTGTCAATCTCCACCGTCACCGTGTGCTGCGTGTTGTGGGGGTTCCTGAGCACGAACTCAAAGAACTCGGCGGTGCCCAGCGAGGCATGGAGCGTATGCCGCGTGGTGACCGCCCGGCCCAGGGCGCCTGCGATGCTCGCGGCCTTGGTGCGCTCCCGGTAGGCCGCGATCACCTGCAGGTCCCGTGCGTGCTGGGCGTGGACGCGCCGCTGGGCCTGCGGGAGTGGACGCCTGAGTGCCGGCCCCGCCCTGCGCCCCGCATCCCCCGGTGTCGCCCGAGATGTGAGTCTGCCATGAGGCGTCCCTGGCCGGGAGGTAACGGGAGCAGGAGGGTCGCGGGACAGAGGAGAGAACCGTCTCTGACCCAGGACAGTCCCGGCCAGGTGCCCCGTGTCCACTCTGGACTGCACCAGGCTGGAGAGAACAGCGGCACCGTTCCCCGCCACCTCCCTCGGGGGGCTGGCCCGCTGGCCCTGGGGGTGGGGCCTAGTCTGGCCACTCAGGGGCCCCCGAGCCCACCAAGACGAATTCTGTCGCAGAGCCCGGAGTGAGCCCTGGGCGACACTGGCCAAGGCCTGCCAGGAAGGAGGGGGCGTGGCCGAAGGCAGGCGGGGGCGGGGCCTAGGAGAGAGGGCGGGACCAGAAGAGGGTGGGGCGGGCCGAGGCGGGGCGGGGCCGAGGGCGGGGCGCGCCTCCTCACCAGCGCGCTGGCCCTTGGGCTGAGCTCCCCGCCGGCCTCCTGCACACGCACCGCCCGCATCCGGTCAAGCTTGCGCCTGCGAACGGCCTCGGCCTCGGCCAGTCGGGGGCCGGCACGCTCCTGGGGCCGGGGGCTGAAGAGCAGGGCGGCCAGCTCACCGTCCAGGTCCACCAGCTTCTGCGCCCGGACCACGTTCTTCAGGGCTGAGATCCAGGGGGGCGGAGGTCAGGGCACGGGGTCAAGGGCCACCCGTGACTCCACGGCACCCCCAGCAGCTGCAGGCCTGAGCCCTTGTGCTCCCCCATGCTCCCCACTTGCCCCCCACGTGCTCCCCCGTGCTCCCCACTTGCCCCTCCCCGTGCTCCCACATGCCTCTCCTGCTCCCTGAGTGCCCCCCATGCCCCATGCTCTGTGCCTCCCACTGACCAGCACTCAGGGCTCTCGCTGCTGCTCCCAGGCCCTGTTCTCGTCCGGGACCCCCACCCCCATGCAGCCACACCCTCCCGATGCCCAGAGCCATTCAGGGCCCTAGAGCCTGGTCCCAGCCATGCCCCCTCTGACAGCGATCAGGGATCTGTGGTGCCCGGGCCTGGCCCCCCACTGCTCCATGCCCACATCCTCCTCTGCAGCTCATGGCGTTCCCCCGCCCCCCCAGCTGAGCAGGCTGCAGGCGGGGTCGCTGCGCGCAAGGGAGATGGCCTATGGCCATCACACGCCTGGTGAGTGGTCCGTGGGCTGGCGGGGGACACCCCAATGGGGCGGGACCTTCAGGACCCTGGAACCCGGGAAGGGGGCAGGTGCCAGTTGCTTCCTGCCGGCCGGGAGCAGGCAAGCGCACGCCCCGCCCACAGTCCCCGCTGTGTCTGCACGGGGACACTGCTTGGCCACCGCGGCCACCCGGGACAGCCCCTGTGTCCTATCCCTCCACCAGGACCTGCCTCACAGATGCCCATATGGAGGACACGCAGCTCCTTGACCGGCACTGCCCAGGGGTGGTGACCCGACAGGCTGGCAGTGGGTGACTTTGGGGGTCTCAGTTCTCCGGGCAGTTTGCCAGCCCCGACCCCCTTCCCACCCAGTGCGCTGACCACCAGCCCCGGGCAGTGTCTGGGGGCCCCCCATGCACTTGTTTGGTCCCAGGGGTCCCGGGGGCCAGAGGAGCCCCGAAGTGGCAAGTCCAGATTCTCACCCTTCGGTCAACACCTTTAAATACGCCACTGGCACTGTCACCTGACTGCTCTCTGCCTCAGTTTCTCCCAGGTGACCAGAACAGACTCCAAGCTGCTGCAGGTCCCATGCCCGGGAAAGAGCGAGCACCCATGAGGTCCAGCTGGAGTTAACACATACACTCACACAGCACACATACGCACATGTGTTCACACGTGTGCTGCAGGCCACTTCCACATATCCACTACACGCATGTGCTTGTTCACATGTGCATCCTTGCACACATGCAGACACATGGGCATACACAGTTCATATTCATGCACGCACGCGCACACATCCACACGTGGATGTACACATGCACCCACACACACGTACACTGCCGTTTGCTCCCATGCGCAGTGTACACGCACATATGCACATGTGTGTACCCACATATACATGATGTGTGCAAATGTGCTGCTCACATGCACGTTCATATGTGCACAGGTGCATATCCCTGCTCATACATGTATACACACGTGCTTTCACGCATGCACGTGCTTGCAGTCAGTGCCCATACTCACATGCACACATGCTTTCAGTCACAGGTGGTGCCAAAGTGACAGTCCAGAGGGGAGGGCGCTTGCCTGGCCTGTGACCAACCTGAGTACAATTCCCGGCTCCCCATAGGGTCCCGTGAGCCCCGACAGGAGTGACCCCTGAGCGCAGAGCCAGGAGCGGCCCAAAAGCAAAACTTTTGGCATGCACACATATGTGCACACATGCTCCTAGGCACACACATGCACATATGCACAATGCTCACACTCATATGCATGCCTGTGTAAGCATATGCACTCTGCACATCTGTGCACACGCGCGTGAACTCAAATGCATGTACGTGTGCACAGATGTATACAATCACATGGCGTGTGCCCTCGTGTGGGCTCATGCATGTTAGTCACGTGCACACACTCATGCATGTGTAGGCAAATGCGCTCACATGCACAATGCTGGTGTGTGCTCACACTCACGTGCACACACACATGCACTCACAGAGGCACAGATCAATGTTCACACGTGCACTCACATGGTGCACTGGCATTTGCACACGTGTACGCAGGTGTGTGCCCGTCACTTGAGTACCTTCATATGTGCACATGTGTTGACACGTGGGTGTACACAGACATGTGTGTCCTGCCCCCCCCCACAGGGCCCAGGCCCTGGCGTCCACTCACATCTGGGGCCCGTGCTCGGGAGGAGGCCGCCTCCTGGGAAGCAGCCGGCTGCGTCGCTGTAGATCACCCGGGCCTGGGCCGGTGGCACGGCGCTGTTGCTCTTCATGCTCTGCTCACAAGGGCGGCCTGCGGGGAAGAGCCTGAGCTGAGCCCCAGGGCCCGGCCTCTCGCGCCACCCCCTGGCACCTGTCTCCCAGCTGGCCCTAACCCCACCCCCACGGGCCCTCGCTGGGAGAACCTGCTGCCTTCCTGGGGGCCCTCACAGACCCCCACGGACACTCAGAGCTTGGCAGGAGAGGGGGATGCGCGGACAGGAAATGCAGCCAGACCTGGGTCCAGTGAGAGATGCATGCTGACCACCCACCCGGCCCACACAGGACCCTGCAGTTCAATGATGGGCGGCCACTTGGGCTCTGCTCCGAGAGCAGCTGTCCCGAGACCGGGATAGGATGGACAGATGGACTGGGGTGGCTCCACAGGGACCAGCAGGTAGGCCTGGGTAGGGCAGTGCCCACAGCACTCTGCCCTCGCTGCTCTGGGCATCGTTAGACACTCAGTCGCTCATTTCAGCCGCCACCTGCAGAGCCGCTCCTGGTCCCCACATGCCCTGGAACACGCACTGGGCAGGGCACATGACCAGCGTCCTCCGATGGCCCAGGACAGTGAGTAATGTCCTCAGACAGTGATAGGCACCCTACATGGTGCCCCGTGTCCTCACACAGTGACCAGTGTCCTGGCACGGCCTGAGATAATGACATGAGTCCAGGAGCCCGTGGTCAGACCCATCGCCCCATGGGTGGGACGGGCGAGGTGGGGTCACCCCTGTGTGCTTCTGTAGCTTTGGGGCACAGGAGGCGGCTGGGCAGCAGGTTAGCCCGTGCAGGCCACGAGTGGACACTGAAGCCCTCTGACCCCTGCGGGGCTCCCCAAGGGCACGTGCTGGGTCACCTGTGTGTGGCGGGTACCCGGTGCCCTGCCAGCTGCCCGGGGAGCCTCACTGGCCGCAGAACAAGTATACAAACGTGCTTTCATGCATGCATGTGCTTGCAGGGGTGCTCGTCCCCACAGGTCTGACACCCCGTCACCTAGTGTCAGACACTTGACAAGGAAACAAAAGCTGCCGCCACGACAGAGAAAGACCAGGCCCCACGTCCGTCCTTAGGCCGTGTCCCCACACATCCTCGGAGCCCCTCGTCCCCCTGGAGCATATCACGGCAGTGAGCCGCATATGGAAGTGACAGTCCCAGGTAACATGGGGCAGGGTGGAGCTTTCTGAGATCCGATTTACAACCCGCCATCCCCAACATTGGCACGCTGGTGAGTAAAGATGAGGCGGGTCTGGCCGGGCACTGTGAGGGCTGCCCGCGGCTCCCCAAATCCTCCGGGCTTTTCTGGAACCTCAAGCTCGGTGCCAAGTCCACACTGCCTGCTTCCAAGATCCAGATCCACGTTCACAGGAAACAAGCAGGTACGCTCTACTCTAGGGAACAGCCGCACCCACACCTGCCCCTGGGTCAGTCCCAGACACCCATACCTGCCCCCGGGGTCAGCCCCTGATGCCCACACCTGCCCCCGGGGTCAGTCTCTGATACCTACACCTGCCCCCGGGTCAGTCCCAGACACCCACACCTGCCCCCTGGGGTCAGTCCCAGACACCCATACCTGCCCCCGGGGTCAGCCCCTAATGCCCACACCTGCCCCCGGGGCCAGTCCCAGACGCCCACACCTGCCCCTGGGGTTCAGTTCCAGCCCCAAACCTGCCCCCGGGGTCAGCCCCACCTCCACACCTGCCCCTCTTACTCTGACCCCAGCCATCAAACCCACCCCTTTCAGCACACGGCCCTCGTGGGTCCCAGGCAGGTGGAGGTTGGAACTTTCCCCAGTAGAGCAACAGAACCCCAAGCGCCAGCCAGGCAGATGGTTCAGCAGTGCAGAGGGCCTGAGCCCACCCAGTACCCACCCGCCCTGACCTTCCCCAGGAGGCCCAGGCTGGTCACCGGGCTGGGGCTCACTCAGGGCACACTCCATGGCTTCATGCCCCCCCCCAGCACCGATGCCCGCAGTGGACACCAGGCACTGCTCAGGCCACACCCCCAGGTGGTCCCTCCAGAGCCTGGCCCGCGCTGCCCTCAGGAGGACACTTCCCCGAGGGAGCCCCACCCGCTGGAGAGAGGAAGCGGCCAGCACACTTACCCACATTGACCAAGGTCAGGTGCAGGCGGCCCCGCACCACCGTGTGGACACCGATGGGCTGGACACCCCCGACACCAGCCACATCCCCGCTGACCACGGCCGCATCCTGCGTGTACTCAGTGGACACCACCTCGAGCTCCAGAGACACCTTCACGGCCGGGCGGCCCTGGCGGGGCAGGTGCTGCAGGGAGTGGACAGGGCTGGGAGTCGCTGGGGGGCGGGGTTGGGGGGCCACAGCCCAGGTGGGGGCTGGAGAACACGCCTCCCCCCCAAACCAGCTCACTGAAAGCCTGGCCCGGCTTCAGGGTCTCTGCCCCAGTCGAGAGAGTCCAGTCCCTGTGCTGAGGACGGGGGTCAGGCACAAGGCCCCATGGCCCCTAGGGAGTTGGCAAAGCCGGCGTCTGCACCAGGTACCCAGTGTGAGGGCAGAGCAGACGGGCTGGGCCGGCCCGACAGAACATGCAGACGGGGTGGTGAGCTGCTGGCAGCTGAAAGGGGCCCAGCCAGGGGCGGTGGGGGTGGCATGGGCCACGCGGCCCAGGGTGGGAGGCGCGTGGGCGGAGCTGAGAGCAGGACGGTTTCCCGGGGAGAGGCAGTCAGGGCTCCACGTGGCTTCCCGTGTGGGTCAGCCCCGCGGCTATGCCGGGCTGCTCGCTGCTACCTTCATGGGCGCGGCCGTGGATCCCACGAGGAGCAGCGAGTCCCCGTCCCACACGTCGATCTGTAGGCTATGTGCGGCCAGGTAGCGGGGGAGGTAGCCGTGCTCCCCAGGCAGGGCACCGGGGGCCACCAGGTACTGCAGCTGGAAACCGGGGGGCCCTGTCCGCGGGCGCGGGTGAGTCAGGCATCGCGGGCAGGCGGCCCCGCTCACACACACGCTCCTCACAACCCTGGTGGATGCTCGGGCCGAGGGTGGACGCGAGTCTGGCCACTGCATCCTGGGCACCGTCCATGCCTGGGGAGCCTCCAAGAAACCCAGAGCCCGGCCTCCCACTGCCGACCGGGCCTGTGGTCCTGCTCCGAGCAGCACCACTGGGAACTCCACATGGACAGGACACCCCGCAGTGGGGGCAGGAAGGACGCACCAGCTAGAAGCCACATGGGTCAGAATCCGTTCCGATTAGGCACGAGGTCAGCACATGCAGACACACACGTGTGCGCGTGGCTGCAGTCACACACAGCATGGACACGTGTGTGTGGAGCCAAGACCCCCTGGAGCAGAGATACCACGTGAAGGGAGACATGGGGCGGCAGCAGGGGGTCTTCAGGGTTGTCCTCTCACAGGGAAGAGGGGACAGCAGGACCCCTGCGCAGAACTGAAGGACGGAAAGGCCCTGGCACAGGCAGTTACCAGGCCTCACAGGTTCCAGAACCTTCCATGCAGGCAGCCGCAGGACCAAATGGGACAGACACCCCCAGGGGGCTCTGGAACCAGGACCCAGGCCGGGAGGTACAGCGACCACCCCAGCACGGAGCTGGGGTGCCCCACAGCCACGCCCAGACACTGCCCAACCGGGGGGGGGGGGGGGCTCATGAGGCCTCGGGGCCCCCCAAGGCGCCTCCTCACACGAGGAAACCATGGCCAGGCCAGAGCAGCAGGACAGCAGGAAGTGCTTCCTCCACACGCAGGCCACCTGGATTTAATCCCTAGCATCACCCAGGGCTCCTGACCTGTGCTGGGGGGATTCCTGGGCACAGCTGAGGGGAAGAGGGGGACGCGCCCAAATAAGAGGAGACACGCGGCGTGCAGCCGCCATCCAGAATCACGTGCATCAGTCCCGCAGGCCTGCGGGCACTCACCCGGGTCAGGGGCGCCGTCCTTCCTGACTGGCACCAGCACGTGGGTCAGGGCGTCCGGGCTGCCCTCCCCGGCCCCGGCCAGCTCCACCAGCTGCAGCCGCGGTGTGGTGGCCGGGGGGAAGCGGTAGAACTGGAAGGTGAAATACACGGTCTTCGGCCACGGCAGCCCCGGGGGGTCCTGGGAAACCCTGAAGCCGACAACAGGTCCAGGTTAGCCGGGGGCCAGGCGGGGACAGCGGGGCCCGAGGAGCTGCGTCACCCACAAGGGTGGGTCCCGGGCCACTAGCCAGTGCCGCACAGCAGCCGGCATGGGCTGGAGCCGAGACACAGGGCAGGGACGTGGGGCGGGGACACGGGCGGGGTCGCCTCCCCAGAAACGCCTGCGGAGTCCAGGAAAGGCGGCCGCAGGGGCACACAGACACTAACATTACAGACGTGGTGGGTCTGAGAGCGTGGCCAGCACAGCGGGGAGCTCCCCAAGGGTCCCCCCCCAACATAGCTGACCCGGGCGGGCGGACACAGCCACGACAGACCCCAGGGCGGGGGGCGCGCCGGGCACCTGCTGAAGGCCAGGAAGTGCAGCGCAATCTCGTTGCCCTGGAGGGGGTCGGCCGCCTCCTTCTGGGCACTGAAGCTCACGGCGGCCATGGGGTCCACCTCCTCGGCAGGCTGCTGGTGGGCATCCAGGATCGGGGGGCAGCCGGACGCCTGCAGCAGGAGCAGCGATGCCCGCGAGGGCTTCCGGCCCAGGCTGTAAGCAAGCACAGAGCCTGCTCAGTGATCGGGGGGCACCAGCCGCCTGCCCGGCCCTCCGGGGCCTCACCCGCGGCTCTGGGCTCCGGCCACGATGGGGGTGTGCAGCGGGGTGAAGGGCAGCTCCCGCAGGGGCTCAGCCAACGAGGGCCCCGGTAGCTGCGGCGTCCGGCGGAGGTCAGCCTCCAGGTGGGAGACAGCGCCCTCCCAGCGCGGCGCCTGCGACAGGATGGGCTGTGAGGTCTCGGCAGGGGCTCGGCCCGCGAACACAACCTGGCACGTCTCCCCGGCCGGGCACGGACTCAGGGCAGCCCACGGGCCCGCCCAGTATCAGGTGCCCGGCGGGGGCCGAGCCTGGTGGGACCCTGGGGTCACCCGGTCCCCCAAGCATCGCCTGTAGCTGATCTCAAACTTCAGCACCTTGCACACGGGTCACCCCCGGGAACGCGGGCGGTGGGGTGGGGGGCAGGGGACAGAGAGGAGGGGAGCCCAGTGCCAGGGACAGCAGAGCCCAAGGTGGCCGGCACCATGGTGACTGCGGGGCCAGCACTCCACAGCATCCCCACAGGGCTGAATGGCCCTCCGGGCACCGGGCAGGCACTCGCCACGTGCCTCTCTGGGGCACAGGCGTGTCCTCACCTACTCCTTCCCAGTTTCCTGGGCTTACAGTCTCCCCGACACACGTGGGGGGCTGGGGCAGGTGGAAGGAGGGGGCACCCAGGCCCACAAGGCCCAGCGGGGACTCAGGGCTGTGTCAGGGGCCGAGCAGGGTGAAGGGGACTCACCGCCTCGGGGGCCTCGGGACTCAGGAGCCGCTGTGAGAGGGGCCTGGCCGGGCGGCGCTGGTCCGGGGACACAGCCAGCTGGGACAGGGACAGCTGGGGAGGACAGCAGGAGTGAGCCGGCAGAGGGGGGGTCCCAGCAGGCCAGCCCATGCTCCATGCTGTCTGCCTCCACTGGTGGGCTGTGTGCAGGAAAGAGGGGACGCGCTCCACCCCGAGGAGGGCACCCCCCCCCAACCTCCACCGCCATCAGCCTGGGCAGCCAGAGTGACACCTCGGGGCTCCCGCCACTTCCCAGCCTGCAGGTCAGGGACAGTGAGGGTCCCCCTGGGGCAGGGCCAGGCTGAGGGGGTGCCCGGAAGGACCCAGGCCAGCAGGATGCCTGGACTTGAGGAGGTGTGTCTCGTGCCATCTGGAGGGTCTGGTGGAGGGGTTGTCTGCCCAGCCCCTGCCTTCCTGGCTGCAAGCAAGGGGCCTGCCCGGGGATCCCTCATCACTTAGGGGAGTGCCGGAGGGGAGGCGGGGACAGGCCCAGAACACCAGCTGCTGTCTCGAGGTTGACTGCCCCACTGGGCGTGGCACGGGGACACACTCCCGGGCCAGCTGGTTGTTGACACAGGACGCCCGTCCAGAGCCACGTCAGAGGACGGACAAGCAGCTCTGGGCAAGCTGACTCGGGCCAGTGCCCACAGCCAGGCACCATCCACACACAGGGTCTCTGCTGCCCGGGCTCGGGAGAGGCAGAGGACCACAGCAGCCAGGGAGCGAGGATGCCAGGATGGAGATGGTAAGGGGCTTGGGGAGGGAGGTGGGCAGCACCCCTGCACTGGCCAGCGGGCCCGCTCCCCATGACCCTGGTCACTGTGACGTGCGACTTACCCCAGGTCCCACGGGCGAGTCCTGGGGGGCAGAGGGCCGCTGGGGCGGAGGCGTGGGCGGGCCTGCGAAAAGTCCAGGATCACGGGGGCACACATCCGCTCCGGGGGGACAGAGTCCTGCCTACCCTACCCCCACTCCCACTGTGGGGGCTCTGGAAGCCCATCCTGCAAGGGACCAGGGGTGCACTGCCCCCCTGCCCCGGGGTCAGGTGGGAGCCGGGCCAGAGAACAGCACCCTCAGGTCCTGTGAGCAACCTCAGGTTGCTGAAGGGATCAGACGAGCTGCTGGAACCCCAACTCCGGGCAGGTCACCCCCAGGAACGAGCCTCTAGAAGCTGAGGGACAGGGCGGGGAGGGCATGGCCAGGGCCTGGACACTCGGTCCCCACAGCCCACAGGTGGGGGTCACCCCACACTGGGGCTGTTGCCTGACGCTGGGCAACACCCTCACACTAGGCTCTGCCCCAACACTGGGCCACACTGGACACTGGGCAACACCGCAACGCTGGCCTACGCCTGGCTACGCCCCACACTGGGCTACCCTGACACACCCCACCCTGTAGTGACCCCCCCTCCCCCCTCGTCTCCTCCTTCCCTTTCCCAGACCACAGCCCCGAGAACCTCCTCAGCTACCCTTCAGCCAGCTGCCCACTCCAGATGCCCCGTCCCTCATTCCCTGGGTGTCCCTGGAGAAACACCTACAGGCCCTGGGTCAGGGTCTGCCCGGAATGGGGGGACAGGTGCTGGCCAGGCCATCACTGCCCAGGGGGACAGGACAGGAAGCAACAACTGAACCAGCAGGTCACGTGAAAGCATCTGGGATTCCCTGGTACAGGCCCACCCTTATTCTGGGGACAGGCAGGGACCCCCGGCAGGGCTCCACCCTGACGGCCTTATTCCCACCGCGCTTACTCGGAGGCGCCCCTGAAAGTTTCTTGGATGGCCGACGCTCTAGCTGAGGGCCAGGCGTGTCCAGGTGCATGTCGGGATCCAGCGAGGCCTGGAACTGGACGGTCCCTGACTCCACCTGCTGCACCTGTGAGGGCGGGAGGGACAGTCACACAGTCCCTCCCTCCCCACCTACAATGATGGGCTCAGGGTCCCTTGGTGCCTGCCCTCCCAGGCGCGGCTAGCACCAGGGACAGTGACCCCTGAGGTCCCCTGCAGGGAGTGTAAGGAGGGGTCAGAGGCCATGAGTGGGCAAGACAGGGCCAAGGCTAGCCCCATACAGCCCGGTCGAGGGGCAAGTGTCCACCTGGGAACGGATGCCGCCCTGGAACTGTGGCTGCCGCCCACCATGGCCACCAGCAGGCAGAGACCCTACCCAGGACCGCTGGCCCTGTCCTGAGGCCTTTGAGTCTCCACCGGGTAGTTTTTGTTTAGTTTGGCTTTAGGGTATGCCACACCAGCAATGCTCAGGGTACCCTCCTGGTAGCAATGCGGACCCTAAGAGATGCTGGGCACTGAATCCAGGTTGGCCGCGGACAAGGCCAGCGCCAACCTGCTGTGCAATCACTCCTGCTCCTCTATTCAGGCTTAGAGAAAACATCTTTACCCAAAAGAGGGGCTTCAGGGCCACAGCGACAGCACAGGGAAGGATCCCCCCCCCCCCGGGCCGCACTCCAGACCACCAGGCCAGGCCCCCAGCAATTACCTCCTGGGAGCTCAGGCTGGCCGAGGGCACCTTGAACACCAGGCAACGCGCGGGGCCGGGCCGGATGCCACCCTGCAGGGGCACAGTCACCGTGCCGGAGCTCACCCCCGGACTCGGGCTCCAGGAGGCCCAGCGCACCATGTGCATGGTGGACAGTGAGGGCGCAGCGGCCTGCAGAGACAGACAGATGAGCAGCCTGGCCCTGCCCATCCACTGCAGATGGGGTGACGGCCAGACCCTGTTCTCTGCCCTGACCACCCCTGCGGAACGCAGCTTTCCACCCACACCTGCCCCTACGGCACACCGTGGGGGGGCATTTAGGGGTGGGGGACAGAGCCCAGCAGGCTCTGGGACCTTGGAGAGGCTGAGACACAGGCCCGGGAATGACACGAGGGTGCAATTGTGCCCTGACACCCACAGGCTTACTGGCTGCAGAAAGATGGGGCTTGGCTCTACAAGTCACGGCAGCAGGACTGTGTGTGTTCAAGGGCCCAGGTTGCACAAGCGCACACACACCCACACACACATGCATGCATACACACACACAAATGCACACACATGCACACCTGCGCACACGCGTGTGCACACACACATATACACACACGCACACACACGCACACCGCCTCTCTTACGTGGCCATCAACTCCTGCGGCGCTGCTCAGCACGTACTCCAGCTGAAACACGATGGCGAAGGCAGGGTGCGGGACCATCCCGGGCAGCCGCACGCAGCTCCTCGAGACCAGGGCCTGGTTGCCAGGGCTGGGGCAGACAGCGCCCGCCACGTCAGGCCAGAGGACCCTAGGGCTCGGGTGTGGTGAAGCCACTGCCCCAACCTGTGTCGGAGGCGCTCAAGGAGCCACAGGTGTTGGGCACGGAACACATGCCAGTCCCCAGCCTTACACTCCGAAAGTGCCACATCCACCCTGGGTTCAAGCCTCCAGCACCCGGCACAGGTGGGGATGGGGAAATGGGTGGGGCTAGGGAGATGTGGGGCGGGGCTTCCGGCAGTGAGGGCAGGGCTAGGGTGGTGTGGGGCGGGGCTTCCGGAGGTGAGGGCGGTGCTAGGGAGGGGCGGGGCGGGGCTTCAGGCGGTGAGGACAGGCTAGTGGGGAAGCGGGACTGGGAGGACGAGCAGTGCTTCATGCAGAGGGGGGTGGGACTGGGAGGCAAGGGGCGGGGCTTCAGACGGTGGGGCGGGGCGAGTGGGGCGGTAGGGCTCTGGGAGGGGCTAGGAAGGTGAGAGGCGGGGCTTCAGGCAGATAGGCGGGGCTGGAAAGGTGTGGGGCGGGACTAGGGAGGTGTGGGGCGGGGTCCAGGCAATGAGGGCGGGGTTAGGGAAGTGCAGGCAGGGCTTTATGCAGAGGAGCGAGAAGGCGGGGCTGGAAGGGCAATGGGGGCTTCAGGCGGCGCGGCGGGGTGGGGGCAGGTGGGGCGGGGCTTCGGGCAGAGGCGGGGGCCACAGTGAAATCTGGATGGGGAAGCCGGGGCTAGGCTGAGGGCAGGACTCAGTCTTCTCTGCCTGTCCACCCCAGGGTTGCCACGCAGGGCCCACCCGGAGGGCGGCCCCGGGCTCTCCAGAGACCCTCCGGCTACAGCCCCAGGAGCGAAGAGCAGAGTGGCGTTGGGTCCCCTGCTGAGGCCTGCCGCCCCCCACTTCGGGCCCATGGGGGGGCGGGCTCTCACCCCAGCCACCGCGTCTCCCCTGCCCCACCGCCCCCCCCCCCCCCCCCCCCCCCCCGGGCTGGGGCGTGCCGGGCACTACCTGGCCTTAACCGAGGCGCCCAGCCTCCTGCCAACGCTGGCGGAGCGCGTCAGGGCCACCTCACGCTCGGGCACCAGCACCAGCACCTGCGGCCTGTGCACGAAGCCCAGCCCGCTGTGCACGCCCACGTGCAGCCGCCGCTCCAGGATCTCCAGCGCACCACCCTAGGAAGGGGCGCTGGTGAGGGGTGAGGATCCCGCACAGCTGAGAACAGCCCCCCAACCCCCCGCCCTGAGTGGGGTTATCCTGGGACACCCCTCCGTGCCCGGGGACCCACGGTGGTGAAGGAACACGGGACCAGCCAGCTCAGGACACAGAGCTCAGAGCTCCTGCAGGGGAGGGGACGCAGGGGACAGGCCAGGCTGGGCAGCCCCGCTGCAACCGTGCCCCTCTGTCCCCCTCACCCCAGTGAGCCCACGAGTCAGGGAGCACGACCACTCAGGTGTGGACAGATGCGCAGGCGAAGGGGCCCAGCTGCAGATCAAAGCCACATGGAGCTGACAGGTCTGCGGCCCCCCCAAACGGGGAAAGGCCTTTCTCAGGAGGGCCGAGAGCCAGCGGCCACCATCCAGGATGGCAGCACGGGAAGCTGGAGGGTCCCTCCCGGCTGGCCGGTACCTCCCAAAGGTGGTCACTGGTCAGCAATTCCAGCAGCTCCTCCTCAAACTTCTCCAGGGAGGGATAGAGGGTGAAGGACACGTCATCCAGGAGCCAGGTGACCGGCTTCTGCAGGCGAGGCTTCCGGAAGGCGTCCCCTGCAGCGACAGAGGCCCTGGAGTTACCGCCTGGTTTGGCTGCTCTGGACTATGGTCAGCCGACAACACACGTGCACCCAAAATAAGCTGGAGACACCCCCAGACAGGCGCCAGGGGCCGGCTCGGGAGCCGGCTCAATAATACAGCAGGAAGGTGCCCTGGGTTCGACGCCCAGCACCCTGCATGGTCCCCTAAGCCCACCAGGAGTGATTCCTGAGTGCAGAGCTGGTGGGTGTGAGCTGGGTGTGGCCTCAAAGCCAAAGCAAAAATGCGTCTCCCTGGTGGGGCTCCTGCATCAGGCTGTCCCCGTGAGGTGCAGGGACTCGGCCTCCCGGTTCCCGAGAAGGGCCCCACGGGAGGAAGGCGGAGGCGGCCCCACGCCAGCAGCCCCCAAGGACGTCCCAGAGTTGTCACCTCCGACCTCCTCCTGAGCTCCAGGCTAATTGGCTCTGTAGGGAAGAGGCCTCACCACCAAGTCAACGGTCCTTACAAGGACAGTGACGGGATGGCCACGAGACCCAAGAGGGAGCAGCTGCCCCTGCCTGCCACCCGGGAGGCCGTGAGCCCAGGTCTGCTCCTTGTACCATGTCATCCTACTCTGCAGAACGGGGCTGAGGCCCGCCCAGGCAGGGTCTGAGGTGACCCTAGAGAAAAACCCAGAGCCCACGAGACCGGAACGGCTGTCCAGCCAGGGGAGAGGGGCCAGTCTTCCGTGGGGAGGAGAGAGGCGGGAACCAACGCCCGAGCCCTGAGCAAGCGTGTGTTTGTGCATGTATGTGCCGTGTATTTAGGCGTGCATATGTGTGTGCCTGTGTGTACATGCATGTGTGCGTGTGTGCATCTGTGTGTGTATGCGAGCAACACCTGCAGGGCTCTCCCCCTCCTCCCCAGGCATAGGTGCACGGCTCTGAGCCACTGAAGAAGCGCCTGTACTCCTGGACAGTGGCCAGCTTGGAAGCCCCAGATGGGACCCAGGCGTGGTGAGCGCAGTAGTACCCCAGGCGGCCAGAAGGTGGCGGCATGAGGCGTTTCTCGTCCCCAAAGGTGAGCTGGAAACACCCGGTCCTCACCCCCAACCCCCCACCCCGCCAACGGGCTGGGTCTGCCCTGACCATACAGCGGAGGCAGGGGTGCTGGATAGTGGAAATCACTAGAAGAAAGACCCCAATGAAGCCGGGAAGAGGGGGCACTGTGTGCTTCTGATTACGCGACAGAAAGGGACCGGGTGGGGCAGGGAGCTCTGGGTACAGTCAGGTGAGCTTCGCCTGAGAACAGTTCTGTGGGCACAGTAGGGGTGGTGTCCCCGCTTCGGGGCCCTGTGTAGAGCCCAGGGCACGCCCAGGAAATGCCGGCACACTCATGCACAAACACACACACACACACACACGGCCACAGAAAGAGGGCCAGACCCCTGCACTGCTCACACGGAGAGAACACCTGTGGGACGTGAAGCCTTACCGGAGCTGGTGGGGCCCGGGAGCAGGCCGGGGACGGGCTGCAGCCCCGACACCAGCAGGTTCTCAGGGAGCAGCGGGAAGGCGGGCTCCAGCGCGGGATGAGCCTGCAGGCTGTAACGCAGTCCGCGGCCGTCCACCAGGCTCAGGTGCCGGCTCTCTGCGGAGGAAACCAGGGCTGGGGGCTTCTCCCGACCCCCCAGCCCTCAGCCATGCCTCAGCCCGGCAGGGCATGTTCTAGAACTGCGGGGGCATCGCCTCGTGAGGACCCCTCCAGCCCTCCCACCTGGGGGCCCTATGGCTGCACCCGCAACCCAGGGCGGGTTCCAGGTTGGGGGCTTACGCTCGATGGGGTCCAGCAGCAGGGGGTGCAGCAGGGCTCTGGGGGTGCCGTGGTACAGCCTCAGCCTGCGGGGAAGGAGACGCTGCCTTACCACTAAAGCCCCCCTCCACAGCTGGGGCACACGGGACATGGGACACAGGATACGGGACACTGCTACCAGCACAGTCCCAAGGAACTCCCACACTGCCAGCTCAGGGGCTCCTACATCTCGGGGTGCAGCCAGGGGTGGAGCTCCACCTCAAAGGTCCACAGCGTCCAGCAGCAGAGCCAAACCCACTGTCCCCACCCTCGCACTGGTGCCTGTGCCCAGAGGAAGGGTCAGATTGGAGGGGATCAAGTCAGAACAGGGGGATTGAGTCAGAGGGGAAGGGATCGAGTGAGAGCAGGGGGGGTAGTCACAGGAGAAATGATCGAGTTAGAGGGGGGGAGGGATCGAGCCAGAGGGGAAGGGATCTATTCAGAGGGACCAAGCCTATGTAGAAGGGACTTAGCTAGACCAGAGGAATTGAGTCAGCAGAGGGATCGGTTCAGAGTAGGGGGATCAGGTCAGAGCAGAGGGATCAGGTCAGAGCAGAGGGATCAGGTCAGAATAGGGGGGATCAGTCAGAGCAGAGGGATCGGGTCAGCAGAGGGATTGGGCTAGAGCAAAGGGATCGGGTCAGAGCAGAGGGACTGGGTCAGCAGAGGGATCAGGTCAGAGCAAAGGCATCAGGTCAGAAGAGGAATCACGTCAGCAGTGGGATCGGATCATAGCAGAGGGATCAGGTCAGCAGCGGGATCAGGTCAGAGCAGAGGGATCGGATCAGCAGAGGGATCAGGTCAGAGCAGAGGGATCAGGTCAAAGCAGAGGGATCGGGTCAGAGCAGAGGGATCGGGTCAGAGCAGAGGGATCGGGTCAGCAGAGGGATCAGGTCAGAGCAGAGGGATAGAGTCGGCAGGAGGGGATGCGGGTGAGGAGCGCAGGGTCCCTCACCCCTGCCAACACCCAGCAATGGTGCCCCATGCCCGGCACCTCCCGTGGGGCTGTTGCGTGCCGGGCAGCTAAGGGGACCCGTGGACATTTCCCGTGGACAGTCTGGTACCATTTGTCCTGCGAGGCGGCGGGGGTGGGTGACTCCGGTTTGCTGCTGAAGAGCCGAAGTATCCCGAAGCCGCTCGCCAGGGCCCGGGAGCAGCCGTCCCGCTTCTGGCCCTCCGTGACGGCCTCTACCACGGCCACGATGTGGGGGTGCTCCAGGGACGTGTGGAAATACAGGGGCTGCAGGGCAGAGGGGTAGCTGGGTAAGACAGGAGTTGGGGGTGCCTACGGACCCCCACAGAGAGACCAGCCCCACCCCATGTGCATGCAGTTCCTGTGGGGCATCCGGTGGGGTTATCCCCTGCAGGGCCTGCGGCATCTCGGGTCCAGAACCTGGGGCACCTGGCTTCCTCTCTGGAACTTTCCACCCTCGGAAAACTGCAGCAGGTGGGGGCTGCAGAGATAGTGCAGGCGCCCAGGCAGCCAACCCCAGGCCCACCCCGGGCACTGCAGATGGTTCCCTGAGCACCGCCAGGACTGGTCCCTAAGCACAGAGCCAGGAGCAAGCCCTGAGCACCGCCTGGTGTGGTCCCAAAACAAGTTGCAGCAGACTCCAGGCTCCCAGAGAAGGTGGGAGCAGCTCACCCCTCGGTCTGTCCACCATCCCCTCCCACAGAGAACAGAACAAAGTCAGCCCCACGTGCCCACCTGGCTGGCACTCCCAGGAAGCCCATGGGGAGGCTTTATTGAAAACACAAATGGTGGGTGAGGCTGGGACAAAGGTCCGGCCACATTTGGAAGTCGAGAGAGAGCAGAGTCAGGGGGCTCAGAGGGCCCCTAGCCCCACGGTCCACAGCAGGACCCAGGGGACAGAACGGCCTGCTGAGGGCCGCGGCATGTGATCTGACCCAGACTGGTACCATTGACAAGCCACCACCGGGGCATCCCGAGGGTGCCCCAATCAGCGGGTAACAGACCCGGTACATCGGCCGTGAGGTGCCAATCATTTCGCCATATTCACTGTGAAATGATGGAGGAATCCCCTGGGCGCTGATGGGGGTCGCCCTGGTGATGCTCTGGCTCCCAAGACTCAGAGACCGTTTCTCGGCACCTGTCCTGCCGAGACTGTCACCCCCAGACGCCCGCGCCCACACTGGCCCGCACCGGGGAATGGGCCTCGGCAGTGACACGGCGCCAGGACCCCAGGGACTTGGGCTGGTGGGGGTCTGTGCAGGGGGGTGGGGGCGGGTCATCAGCAGAGGGGTCAGCCCCAGCCTTGACCTCCATCCAGCAGGGGGGGAGAGGAGACAGCAGAGAGGGCGCTGGCCTTGCACACGGCTGACCCGGACTCAATCCCCAGGCCCCATATGGTCCCCCCAGCACCGCTGGGTGTGGCCCACCCCAAAAAACAATCTCCATCCAGTGAAATCCCAGCCCCAGAAGCACACAGAGAGACGACTATGGGTCCATCTATTGCCCACCCACGTCCAGCCGAGTCCTCCATGGCTGGCCTCACTGAGTGTGGGGGATGACCACGCGCTGCTCACCAAGGGAGGAGCACAGCTGAGGACGGCCAGGCCAGCAGCCCCCAGATCTGTTTCTGATCGCAGATTCCTGATCCTGGGTCCAGGGTCCCTGTCCCGGATCTCCAGGGGCTCTGCTCACTGGCCCCCTGCTCAGGACACTGGCTGACGCACACCGGCCGGCCCTGCTCATCAGCCACCTCCTCGGGGAGTTTCCAGAAGCTTATTTCGATGGCACTCCTGTTCCTCAGCAGCCCACGTCCCCCTGCAAATGGGCACTCTGAGGAGTGGGTTTCTAGGGCTGGGGGTGGGGGCAGGTCCCATCACCCTGTCCCTTGAGGAAGGTGCCCATCTGTGACCGAAGCACTCTGGCCTGAGTCTCAGCAACAGAGATGAGCCTGGCTCCACTCACACACTCACACACACATACACACACACACTCACATACACTAACACACATATATGCTCAATCACATACACACTCACACACACGCACTCACATATACTCACACACGCACACTCACACACACACACTCTCACATATACTCACATGCAGACACACACACACTCACATATACTCACACATTCTCACATATGCTCATACACATGCGCACACTCACATATACTCACACACACACATACACTCTCACATATACTCACATGCACACACGCACACTCACACACGCACACACTCTCACATATACTCACATTCACACACACACTCACATATACTCACACACATTCTCACATATGCTCATACACATGCGCACACTCACATATACTCACACACGCATACACTCTCACATATACTCACATGCACACACGCACACTCACACACACACACTCTCACATATACTCACATTCACACACACACTCACATATACTCACACACATTCTCACATATGCTCATACACATGCGCACACTCACATATACTCACACACACACATACACTCTCACATATACTCACATGCACACACGCACACTCACACACGCACACACTCTCACATATACTCACATTCACACACACACTCACATATACTCACACACATTCTCACATATGCTCATACACATGTGCACACTCACATATACTCACACACACGCATACACTCTCACATATACTCGCATACACTCTCACATATACTCACATGCACACACACACACTCACGTATACTCACACACATTCTCACATATACTCACACACATGCACTCACACACACTCTCACATGTACTCACACACTCACACGCACACTCTCACATATACTCACACACACATATGCACACTCTCACATATACTCACACACACGCACTCACACACATATACTCACACATGCACTCACACACACATATACTCACACATGCATACTCTCACATATACTCACACACATATTTACACAAACACTCACACATGCACACTCTCACTATACTCACACACATGCACTCACACACATATACTCACACACACTCACATATATACTCACACACACACTCACACACATATACTCACACACACTCACATATATACTCACGTACTCACATGCACACTCACATATATTTACACACACACCACGCACACTCACACACTCTCACATGCACTTTCAGATTCACACATACACACACACTCATATATGTACTCCCACACTCATTCACAATATACACCTACACACATAATCATGCACGTCACTCACAGTCACATATACACTCACACACTCACATGCACACATAAGCATTTGCACATTTAAACACTCGTGTACACTGACACACTCACATTTACACACATACACTCACATTCAGACATACACACTCACATACTCACATATACACTCACCACACTCAAATACATTCGCGCAGCCCCCCACACACACACACTCTCACATACACTCGCACCCACACAGCCCCCCCCCCACACACACACCCCTATGGAGCAGGGAGGAGCGCCTGCTGGGAGCGGGCGGGGTCTGGCGTCTGGGGCTCTGCCTCCGCCTTCTGGGGATGATGAATTATTCAGGCGCTGGTGCAGGGCACCATGGGGCGGGAGCGACCGGGCAGGACGGGACTCAGAACAGGACAGACCTTCTCTCCAAGGATGAGTCAGTCTCGCCATGGCAAGGCCCCAAGTGGGGGTCCCCAGAAGCCCTCCAACCAATGAGCTGGGCAAGCAGGCAGTGGGCTCGGGGCCGCCTCCGACAGGGCACAACCGTCTCTGTCCCCATCGCCAAAGGGGTCCCTGCTGAGCCGGGCCAGCCTGGGGTGCTCACAGGCGGGACCCCGGGAACCGGGGAGAGCCCCCCAACTACAGGTGTCAATCAGCGCCCGCACACGGAGGGTCTGGCTGGCCGCCGCAGAGAGGCCTCTGACTAACTGAGCTCCCTGGGGCTGGCTGGCAGGACAGTCTGTCCCTGGGCAGTGCCCCTGGCCTTAGTGGCGGGCACAGCGCCAGGCCCGGTGTCCTCCCGTGCCTTTAGGGCGTCGATGTGCAACCTCTCTGGAAACGGGGGGACCGCGGTCCCCCCAGCAAGACAAACAGGGACAGCAGCCCAGACTTGGCAGGTCTGGGCTCTGACAGGCCCCTCTTAAGTAACTGCCTCAGTTTCCCTAAAGTGGGTCTGAATGAGAGCTCGCCCAGTTCCGGCTCCTAGTATAAAGGTTCCAATGTAGGGCCCTAGCCAGGATCCAACATGGTGGGGTCAGCGGACGAGCGAGCCAGGACAAGCATGAGGCAGCCTCCACTTGAGACCCCAGCCCCGCTCTGCTGGGTACTCTGCCTGGTACTGGGGGGCCGGGGGGCACAGAGCCCCAGGCTGGAACAAGAGCATCCTCCTTCATGCTCACCTGACACTCTGGGGGAGGGAACACGGCCCCCCTCGAAAAATGGGGGTAGAGGAAGGGCCGAGAGGCTTGCCAGAAGCCAGGCTGACGCGGGGCCCCAGAGGGCCAGTGGGGGGAGGGGAGGGGGCTCCACCGTGCTTCCCTGGGCCTGACCACAGCCTAGGAGACCAAGGCTGCGCCCACCACGGGTCACAGGACCCAGGGGCTGGAAATGCATCTGCACCCTGCCCCTCCCGGCAGCACCATCAACCCAAGACCCACGGGTAGGGAGGGATGGAAGCCCAGGCTTGCTGGTTCCCTGACCCGCTGCCTCCGTTCACCGCCCCTGCTCCGGGCACAGGAGGGCAGTGCCGCGACCCCAGGCACCCCTGGTCCCCAGAGGCCAGGGGCTCGGCTATATCCCCCCACACTGCGGCTCTCTGCAGGGCTCCACAACGCCTTCCTCAAACCCAGGCTTCAGGCACGGGGAAGGCCGGCATGTGGGGCGTCCACACTGGGCTGGGCACCTCCCGCCCGCAGCTCCCAGCGCAGTGTCCCCACCCGGGCGATTTCCAGGCTGTCCCCTACCCACCACCCTCCCACAGCTGGGCTCCCGCCTTTCTCAGAAGGGGCAGAGTGTTTGGAGCCCCTGGGTCACAGCTAACGCCACCCCCCTCGCCCGGTCCAGCTGTGACAGGTCAGCCATGCGGTGGCCCCGGAACACTGAAACGCCGCTGCAGGGGGCCGGACACGGGCGCAGTCCAGTTTCAGGTTCGGGGGTGGAGACGGGGCTTGGGGCCACACCTGGCCCTGTGCTCAGGGACCGTCCCTCCCGGTGGTGCCGGAAGCACAGAGGGTGCCCAGGGCCACCCAGGCAGGTGCTTGTCCCCACGCACTCTCCGAGGCTGCGGGAGCTGAAGAGGGCTCTTGGGATTCTTTCTGTCTGTGCCCGGCCGAGGCCTTACCGAGCAGTGTTTGGGGCTCACACCCAGGTCAGCTGCTGGCGGGAGGCCCGAGGCCTGTAGGTCTGTGGGCGAAAGGGCAGGGGTCCTGGGGAGGTGGGCGGGGGAAGGGAAGCAGGGGTCCCGGGGAGGCGGGGCTCCAAGAGGACACACACCTGCGGGGACAGTCCCTGCCCTGCCCCCATTGGCACCCACCTCATTGAAGACAATCCTGGGCGGTGACCCCGAGAGCAGCTGGACCGGCCTCTCCGCCGTCCTCCAGGTCCTCCCGAAGAAGTGCCGATAGGTGACATCAAACAGTGACACGCGCAGGTGGCAGCGCACGTCCGACAGCGCCTCCAGCATGCCCTGGGGACACAGGCCACCGCCCGCCACCACTGAGCCCCGTTGGCAGACAGACAGACAGACAGACAGATGGGCGGACAGATGGATGGTCAGGTCTGACCCCCTCCCCAGGACAGCGGCCCCACTTTCTGACCACTCAGAGCACCTTGGTCCGTGAGGGGGCCAGTGGTCACTCATGGAGCTGGGTGTGCGGTCACTCTCCAACACCCCGACAGGCGCAGGACTCATCCTAGACTCACAAGCTGACAGGCCTGGGGTCACACAGAGACTCCTCGGGGGCTTAGAAGCCACCAAGAAGCACCACTGACCGGAACCGGCAGCTCACCTGGTCCCCGACCCGGGACCCCCAAGGCCCGGGCAGACACGGCCCTCCCGGACCTGTGTACCCCCAAATCTCTCTAGGCTTCTCCCCAGGCCCCACACTGCTCCACGGGGGAGCCTCTCACACCCACTCTCGCCCCCTCATATATGTTCCCAGACCACCTTATCCATGTTCCATACCTCTCATGCATGTTCCACACCCCTCACGCATGTTCCAGACCTCTCATCCATGTTCTAGACCCCTCATGCATGTTCCAGACCCCCTCATGCATGTTCCAGACTCCCTCATGCATGTTCCAGACCCCTCATCCATGTTCCAGACCTCCTCACGCATGTTCCAGACCCCCTCACGCATGTTCTCATACCCCCTCACGCATGTTCCAGATTCCCTCATGCATGTTCCAGATTCCCTCAGGCATGTTCCAGACCCCCTCATCCACTTTCTCAGACACCCCCACACATGTTCCAGACCCCCTCACGCATGTTCCAGACCCCCTCACGCATGTTCTCAGATCCCTTCATGCATGTTCCAGATTCCCTCACGCACATTCCAGACCCCCTCACGCATGTTCCCAGACCCCCTCATCCACTTTCTCAGACCCCCTCACACGTATTCCCAGACCCCCTCATCCACTTTCTCAGACCCCCCTCACACATGTTCTCAGACCCCCATCTATATTCTTAGACCCCCTCACGTATGTTCTTGGCCTTCCTCACACCTGTTCTCGAGCCCCCCACATATGTTCTCAGGCCCATTCCCATGCACTTTCTCAGACTGCCTCAGACACGTTCTCCTCGCAGCCCCCGCAACCCGGGAGCATGAACACGTCTTCTCACCCGGAGTGGTCCTCGTCCCCAGCTCCACCCCGTGCAAGGATGGGGTCTCCAGGCAGAGACCGAGCCAGCGGGCGTGAGGGGCTGGGGCACCCGCAGCTGCTGTCCTAGGGCCTGGCTGCAGACTGGGAGCAGGGCTGCAGGGCCAGGTGGGCCCCCCCGCCACAGCCCAGCTTGGCCTCTGACCCTGCGCTGGACGCAACTGCCTGCTGAGCTGGCACGTCCCCATGCTGACGGGACACTCTGCCCGGCCCTGCCAAGGCCCGCGGGAGCCGCGGATAAACAAGCGTGAATCGATGGCGCCGCAGCGGCGCGGTCAGCGGCTCACCTGAGTGGTGGGGGGTGCCTCGAGCGACTTGAGGACGCACTGGAAGGCCCTGGACTCCCTGGGTGGTTGGCGCAGCCTCTGCGGGTGAGGGGGCACCAACACGTGCTGCTCCAGCACCCGCTGCCACTCATTCATCCTGCAGCTGGGGGTCGGGGGGGGTCGTCAGACAAACGTGGCTCCAAGGCGCCGTCCCCGCCCCCCCAGCCTGGGACCCCCAGCTCTCCCCCAGCACACGTGCCCACCTGGCACCAGGACCTCAGCCTCCTTTGGGTCAGCCAGAGTCTAGAGGTCTGGGGGCACCCGGTCTGGGCGCTGAGGCTGTCAGGGAGAGGACGATGGGGACAGCTCAGAGCCCAGGACTGTGAACCCCAACTCCCACTGGTCTGCCGGAGGGACACATGGGCCTCTGCGGACGCTGCCCATCGAGGGCTTTCCGCCAGCCCTGCCCCGAGCCCCTGCCCAGACCTGAAACAGACGGAAAGCGGAGGGAAGAAAGGCAAAAACATGCCCAGGGCACTGGCCCAGGAGACACAACGGCCAGTTGCCCAGGAAACTGAGTCCCCACAGTGTCCTGTGGTCACCACCTATTAGCTGGGTTGCATGAGGCGGCTTCCCGGCGACCAGGTTCCACAGGATACGAACCTCCAGCCAATGGGCTGAGGCCTAAGACGCTGTGCCCAGCTCCTTCCCAGCACTCCCAAACCTGGGCCCGGGCCGTGATAAGGCTGGACCCTGGGCCCGAGTAAAAACAGGCCCACCAAGGTAGCAGGTGTCGGGGGGCGGAGCAGACCTTGTAGGTCCCCAAGGCTGTTGTATCAAGGGTGCCGCCCGGGGGGAGGTCTCAAACCCAAGCAAGAGCTCAGCCCCACGCTCCAGATACATGCTTGGTCACAGATGGCGGTCACCCAGCAGTCCACAGTGCTGCCGCCACGAATACATGAGACCAAAATCGATCCCTGGTGTGAAAACAAGAACCAGGAATGCGCACCCCTCCCGGCACCTGGGCAGTGAGACAAGGGACTGTGGGAGGGGCCGCAGCTAGAGCGCTTCCCAAGGGAGCAGGGCGGGGTGAGACCCCCCAAAAGGCTCAGCTCAAGGACCCCTAAGGGAACTCAGGCCCAAAGACGCCAGCATGAGCTGAGTATATGCACGCAAACACACAAACGCACACACATGCATGCGGGCACATACGGCACACGCAAGGGTGGGAGAAACAGTACAATGTTACAATGTTACAGTCCACGGAAGAACTGTGGTTTGATCCCCGCACCACATATGCCCCCACCCCACCCCACCCCTGCCGCCTGCCGCCCAACCCTCCTGGGTAAGTCCTGGGCACCGCCAGGTGTGGCCCAAATCCTCCATGCAAAGAACACGTTTTTATATTCGCATATAACACGTTCACCAGTCACTCCTTTTACAGTTTTGGGGTCACACCCGACGATGCTCAGGGCTCATTCCTGGCGGTGCTCAGGGATGCCAAGGATCAAACACGGGTCAGCCACATGCAGGGCCAGCACCCTACCCACTGTGCTTTCTCTCTGGCCCCTCTGCTATACTTTTTCAGTGAATACTCTTGTTGACATTTTTGTTTTCATTTCTCCTGGCGTTAAACCATGAAGTTCTCCAAGTCCCTTCCAGTAAAGGGGTCTGCGGTCAAGATGCCCCGGACAGCCGTCCTATGAGGGATGGGGGAGTGAGCCGAGGCAGACAGCCCCCAGTCACAGCAGCTGGACCAGGGAATCCAGCCCCGTCCCCAGCTGCAGGAGGTCGGGGCGGGCTCAGGGGATCAGGGCGCTCTGCAGGAACGGGAATGACGGGCAGGGAGTCAGAAGACTCTGGGCTGTGGGGGAGGCATGAGGAACTCTGTACTGGGTCCTCACTGCACACCAGGTGGCCCCTGACCCCACTGGCTATTCCCACAGCGCTCTTCAAAGTAAGCCCTGCTGTCCACTTACATGAGGGACAGGCCACTCTTGAGGCACGGGGCTGGCAAGAGGCCCCTCAAGCTTGATACCAAGGCCAGGTTGGCAGGGACGGAGCCCAGCGGCCAAGGAGGGCTGAGCAGGAACCCAGAGCCCCTCTCTGGGCTCATCACCAAGTGCCCTCAGATACAAGAGAGAGTCCGTGCCCGCGCGCGGGGTGCTGCTTCTGCAGATCCACCCGCAACGGGTACCCAGAACCAGGTCCCGCCCAGGATAAACCCTGCAGTCCGGCCCTCCAGGAAAGTCCAGAGGGGGCCGGCAGGGGGCGCTGTGAGCGGACACCTCAGCAGCTCAGGAGGCTGGGCTGAAGTCTAGGGACAGCGGCTGGCCAGGGAAAGGGGCCGCCTGACCAGGAGCTGTCCCAGCGCAGATAAGTCCGCTTGCCCGCACTGCACAGGACCTGGACCGTCTGACCAAAGCCCGGGGGGGGGGGGGGGAGCATTCCGGGGACTGGGTGGGAGGAAAGCACTGACCAGGCAGGGGGCCCTGGACTCCTTCCTGAACCCAGCGGAGGTCCCAGAGCGGCCGGTGATCAGCACCGACCTGGGCACCAGGGGCGTCTGGGGAGCCTGTAGGCAGGGCACGTGCGGGAGGCCAGTCTCTGCGGCACTTGCTGCCCCCTGAACCGCTCCTGTGGGCCCGAAGCAAGCCGGGACAGTGGGCGCTGAAGTAGAGGGTCAGCGCTGGGGTGGGCAGCGGAGGCGCCTCTGAGTCAGAGGCTGTGGCCGGGCCAGCCGAGGGCAGGTGGGGACAGGCACCCCGGGAGGAGCCGGGAGCGCATCAAGTGGGGGACAGAACCACCCCCCCGGTCAGCAGAGGACGGAGTCGCAGGAGAGGCCAGACGCGAGGGGCGGGGGGACGCCGGCAGGGGGCAACGCTGAAGGGCCGGCCCAGGCTCCAGCCCCCGCGAGGACCCCCTGGGAAGGCCGCGGATCCGGCCGGGATTGCTCCGGGCGGGCGGGGGGCAGCCACGCGGGCGGGGGTCGGGCCGGGCCGCGCAGCCCGGGAGTCCCGATCCCCGGCCCCGCCCCGCGGGCCGCGTTACCTAGGAGACGGCGGTCCGGCCGCGCGCGGCCCGGCGAGGACAGGGGTCCCCGGAAGCACCCGCGACGCCGCAGGGCCGCACCGGGAGGGGCGCAGCGCGGGCCGCGGGGTCCCGCCGCCCGGAGAAGCCCCTCGGCGGCCCGGGCCGCTGCGCCCCGCCCCGCGCCCCCAGACGTCACCCCCGCGGCCAATCGGAGCCCGAGTCGGCGGCTCGGCTCTGCCGGCGCCCGCCAATCGGCGAAGCGGCGGGCCCGGCCCGATTTGCATGAGCGGCGACCGCGACAGCCAATCGGAGCCCGGCCGGCGGGCGAGCCGGCCAATGGGAAGCGGCCGGGGGCGTGGCCGCGGGCGTCCCACGAGGTGAGGCTCCTGCGGGCGGAACCTGGCGGCGCGATTCGGGGGCGCCCGGGCGGCGGGAGCGGGGCGGGAAGGAAGATCCGGAGCGGGCAGGGGATCCGGAGCCCGCGCCCCCAGGTGAGTGGCCCGCG